GACCGGTGGGGGGGAGGGGGGGGGAGTGGTTGATGTTGGGGTGTCTGTGAGAACATCAGTGGGAGTGTTGACGGTCTCAAACCTGGTGTAGAAGCTGTTGAGGTCGTCAGGCAGGTTATCTGTGGCACTGGTGGTCAGTGAATGGCTCCTGTAGTCTGTGATGTGTTGCAGGCCCTGCCACATGCTCCTGGAGTCACCAGTGGAGTAGAATCCATCCAGCTTCTCTCTGTACTGTCCCTTGGCAGCTGAGATGGCCTTCCTCAGTTTGTATTTAGCAGCTTTGTACTCAGTCCTGTTGCCAGATGCAAAAGCAACAGAGCGGGCGCGTAGCATGCTACGAACTTGGCTGTTGATCCAGGGCTTCTGGTTTGGAAACCTCCTAACCTGTATGGTGGGTACGATGTTATCCACACAAGTGCTTATGTACCCAGTCACAGAGTCTGCATACTCTTGTATGCAGACGGAAGAGTCCTCCAGAGTGGCTGCAGCTTTGAACACATCCCAGTCTGTGGTGGCAAAACAGTCCTGCAGTATGCCCTCAGTCTCCGGTGTCCACAGTTTCACTGATGTTCTGACGGGGTCTGACTGTTTGAGTCTCTGTCTGTAGGCTGGATACAGAAACAGAGATATGTGGTCCGAGCGTCCAAAGTGGGGGCGGGGGGCGGCTCTGTATGCCCCTTTGATATTGGTGTATACATGGTCCAGGGTGTTCTTGTCCCGAGTGGGTATGTGAACATGCTGGTGAAATTTAGGAAGTACAGTCCGTAGATTGCAGCGGTTGAAGTCACCTGCGACAATGAGCGCAGCCTCGGGGTAAGCCGTCTCCAGTGCGCTGATGACGTCATGGAGTTTCCTGAGTGCCGTTGTAGAGTTGGCTCTCGGTGGGATGTAAACCGCTGCTAATAGTACCGCCGTAAATTCCCTTAGTAGGTAATAGGGACGGCACTTCAGCATCAAAAACTCCAAGTCCGGTGAGCAATATTTGCGGACATTCATCCAGCTTCTCTCTGTAATGTTGTTTATAAACACGCACACGCCCCCGCCTTTCGATTTACCAGAGGCTGCGGTCCGGTCTCCTCGATGAATGGAGTGCGTCAGCAGCTGGATCGCAGATTCCGGGACGTTGTCGGAAAGCCAGGTTTCGGTGAAAATGAGAGCGCAGCATTCTCTCGTTTCCCTTTCGGTTGTTATCCTGGCTCGTAACTCGTCCAGTTTGTTCTCCACGGACTGCACATTAGCAAGAAGGAGGCTCGGGAGCGGTGGACGGCTAGCGCGAGCTTTTTGCCCAGCATGGAGCCCTCCCCTCCGACCGCGGCTGCGGCGCCGCCTCCGAAGCACTTTCCTCGGGTCAGCTGGTTCAATTGAGGTCGGTGCGTTGGGGCCCGCCTGGTGGTGGTGGCGGCGATCTCGGGAGCGCACAATGAGTTGTAGATCCGTTGGAATAAATCCACAAAACTCAAAGGTGTGTTGGTTTCCAATGTTAAGAAGTGTCTGCCTGTTATATGATAACAGCGCGTGACATTCTTGTAGAAAGTAAAACGGAAAAATACACAATAAAACGATAAAAATATGACATTCCAGAGCGGAGCGAGCAAACACGTCTGCCACGGGGGGCGCCATGATGCTAGGCATGCATCCTCACTGTCCACAAGTGGTCTGGTGGCGGGCGTGGTGTTGTCTGCATCAAACCGGGCATAGAAGGTGTTGAGCTCGTCAGGGAAGGATGAGCTGGACAGTTCTATTGGCCTGCTCCTCCCCCCGTAGTCGGTGATGCAGCGTAGTCCATGCCACACGCGTCTGGAGTCGTGGCTCTGTTGGGCAGACTCCACTTTCTCCTTGTATTTCCGCTGGGAAGCCCTGATGGTCCTCCTGACGTCATACTTGGCTGCTTTGTAGGCATCAGGGTCTCCTGAGTTGAAGGCAGCGGTGCGGGCTTTGAGTTTAGCCCGCAGCTCTGGTCCAGCCCAGGGTTTCTGGTTGGGGTAGGTGCAGATGGTGGTTTGGGGCACCGTGTCCTCAATGCACTTCTCAATGCACATGTAGCCTAAGACAGAGTCTGTATAT